TCTCGTCGGACATGTAGAAACTCGTGCCCGGGCCGTTCGCGCAACCCGTTCCAAGCCTGTTGTCTCAACAGCATCAATCCGGGAGATTTGCAGTCCATCTCTCCTCGCATTTGGCGAGCCACCAGGTTGGAATCACCGCATATGATTAAGCGTGTGACATCCAAGTGTGTGACATCCAAGTCTTCTAGGAGCGAGAGCCCGAGTAGCATGCCCCGATATTCGGCTTCATTCACTGTGAGACCTTCCGCGTATCCTGACGCGGCTTTTACCACGTTCCAATTGGGTAACAGCCAGACTACTGCGCTGAATGTACCACCTTCGCGTTTGACGCGGACCAGTCGAAGCTGATCACGTGGAGGCTCTCGGTCGGTCCGATTTTCGGGACCGGGATAGCGGCCGTCCTAGACGGGCGTTTTCGAGGAGCGATATCTTCCAATGCGGAATCTGCATGGGCCCTCGGCGTGATGCTCACAGCCAACGCTCCCAAACTCTCCTCCTCCCCTTTCGCCGACCGGAGGATTTCCAATCGCCAGGGGGAGAGGATGGCGGCCCATTGCGACAGACGACCTTGCAGCCCTTTAGACCGGAATAGCCAACCCAGGGTTGTATGTCGGGTCAAGACGCGTATCGTCTTTCCCACCAGCATGTTGTGACACTCGTGCAGCGCTAGGATCTCCTTCTCGGTGATGCTGTAGTTCAGCTCGTTGGGCTTCAATGTCTGGCTAGTGAACTTGGCCGGCATGTACACTCCGTCATGCTCTTGAGTGAGACCGGCCGACACGGCCCAATCACTCGCGTACACAATCACCACTGGTTATCTATCCGCGTCGAAATGCTTTAGCATCGGGGTAGCCGCGATCTTGCGGCGAAGTGTCGCGAACGCGCGTTCAGCGTGATCCCACTTTTCCACGTCACGCGTTTCTGGATTCGTGGCGCGTTCCTCGAAGTTGCGGGCTGAGAGGGAGTAGAGCGCGGTGGCAAAGATTGCGAAGTCGGGGATAAAGCGGTGGTAGTAATTTAGACTACCCAAGAACGACTGTAACCCCTTTTGCGTGCGCGGAAAATCCAGCACCGCTAGTGCTTTCAAGTTCTTTGTCTTCGCCCCGAGTCCGTTTTCCGAAACCTCGTGCCCCAAGTAATCCACTCTTGGAATTCCTCATTCGATTTTCTCGACACTGATCGACAAGTGCCACTCTTCGCAAACTTCGAGGAGACGTTCCACCTTCTCGCACAAGTCATCCCAAGACTTTCCCCCGATCAGAATATCGTCAATATAGGACCGTCGACCAAGCACGGACCGTGTTCCAGGCTTGGACGGGAACCCGTCCTTGAAAACGTCTCGGATATCTTCAGTCGGCGAGAGTTTCCAGAAGCCGTACAGCGCGTT